TTTTTTTTTTTAACATTATATAACGTCAATCGGTTAATGGGAAAGAACGAAATTAAATGTATTACACTTTGAGGTCTGGGGGCAGGTATTGTAGGACAGATAATGCTACACAGCAGCACATCTCCTTAAGAAAAATGGAATGGCATTGAGGGTTGTTATATGAGTCTTGAGCAAAAACTAAACGACAATTTTCATATGCAATCAGCGCACACCGGTACAGTATATTCCCCCGTGTTTGTCTGTTCAAAGCAACAACACTAACAACAAATTAAAGGGCTATTTATTATTATGCGTGCTAATTAGCAGTTCTCAGTCCTCTGGCAGATTAACGATAGTCTGTGATAAGACTACGGTTTTACACTTGGCACATACTGCTCATACTGCACACACACAAATAAATTATGTGAGTTTCTCTGTAAACGAATTCATCCCATAGAGGGCACTCGCAAGCCTGTTTTTCCTCCACTTTTCCTCGCTTGGGTGATGAAATCCCTTTGGTTTCAGACACGAGTGATGGAATATTCTGGTAACTCCGGTTGAATTCGAGGCTGGAGGTTTCTGGCTGAACCTCGAGTGTAAATGTATCTTACAAGAATAAAACATGATGACACCTCCGTTAATTTTAGCCTAATCTCGAGAATATTCTCGTTGCTTTCTCAGTTATGCCCCTCAGTTCAATTAATGAGAGAAATAATGTTAAAAAATGGAGGTACTGATAAATTGTATGATAACACATTTGATTTTCGCTAAATGTTGAAAGTATGACTATATGATATCACTCAACTAATATTAATAAAAGGGGGTTTGTACGAATATACAGATCCCTGTCGTTGTGATTTGTGGTGCGCAGAAGATTGTGCTGAATTTCATTTTTTATTGAGCCGGCCGTCACTTTAGTTATAGAATAATTCCCTTTAAATGTTTCATCAGAAATTGAGCCATTGTAATTTTACATAAAAACGATTAGAAGAAAATCATTGGACAGCAGAATTCAAACTCAGTATCGTCGTAAGGTTAAAATTAAAACGTTGGTGATGATTTTTGAATTGATCTCGAACCTTCTACAGTATGTCCCACTGAAAAGGAAATGTTATACTGTATATTGATTTATACAGTATGTGTCTGTAAAATAAAATTGAAGGATAATATCGTTATACAATACACTATAGTAGAATAACTGTTTTAGGGGTTTGTCAGAATAATGAGACTATATTTAGTTCACATGAGTTTCGATATTTAAAATGAAGATGTTTTAATTCATTGCTGAATGTCGCTGTTTAGATATACAGTAATACAGATCCGAAGTGTTTGATTATGACCATCAGACATCTCAAAACATATTGGGGAAGAAAGTAAGGGGAGATGACAACTGTGTTATTCTCCTTTGCTACGAATGAATATTAAATCTTATTATAGAGAAAAACAGCCTGACATATTTTATACCTATTAGTATCAGCTGCTCAAAATTAATGTAAAACTCATCTTTCTTCATGCTGTTGACTACTGCTGTCAAGACCCCCTGGGTGAAAGAATCCTGAAAAAATATTGTTTCAGATGAATAGCTCAGTGATATTTAGCTTATTAATATACAGTGCGAATAGGACAAGAAAGCCTGAGTTATTACTTCTGTCGTTCAGCTTTTCAAGATCCTCAACCCAGTGAGGCCTGAGCTAGCCTCTCAGCTGTCACTTCTAGTCTGTTAACTCCTCAGACACATTTTGTCACAGCCTGGGGAGCCGAAGCATGGAGACATTTGGAACCAGGCCTGTCCTGGGAAAATGACATTAGGTATTAGATTTATTTTAGTGAGCTTGTGCTTGTCGCAAGGCCTTCACAAGCAACTTCACCTGTGTGACCTACTGCCACCCCCACCCCCCCAAAAAAAAGACATCTTCTTTCTGAAAACCCCAGCTTAAAAAGGAAAAATTGCTGTCAGTTTTTCAGCTTCTTTATTTTTTTCTTCAGAAGGTTTGTAAAAACATCATTAGAATGACATTTGTCAGGAACTAATTGGGTCTCCCTAGCACTGGTGTTTAGTGGTTTCCTACACTAATGATGCCCCTCCTAGCATTCAGGTGCCCCATTTGTAGCATGTTGAGACAAACTGCTAGATCACTTTGAAGTGATTTGGGTTGAAGCCACAAAGAGCCTCAATTTTTGTGCTTGGTTCTGAAGAACCAGGGTAGCTTCTGAAAGTTCTCAGGCTGTAGCACATTCGAAATCCCGTCTCTGTGACCAGTTCGGGTTTCGGTGATGGCAGTCCCTCCTCATGATACATTTCAAAGCAGCTCGGAACAGCTCTGCTCCAGCAGTTACTGGAGTGCTGTTCCTTATCAGCGCTTCTGCCGTGCTACAACAGAGGAGTGTTGGCAAGGTTCACACCAGATTCCTCTTTCAGGCTGTAATACCAGGCAGGGGATTACAATTGGCTGGAGCCGGGGGTTAAACACAGTGTGTTATCCAGCGGCGGGGGGGGGCGGTCTTGGAACACTAAATTCCTTTCCAGTGGTCTGTCTTCCATGAATAGACTTTCTAGGCTCTTCTATAAATATGATGGGGGGGTGAGAGGCGGGCAGTGAAGGAGAAGTTTATAAAGCCCACGGCCAACTATTACTGAGAGCACTCGCTCTTCCAAACAGCGCAGAGGAGAGCAGAGAACTGCAAAACCTTCTGAGGGTGGTCTGTCCCCGTTCCTAAAACGTTCCTCGCCGACATGTCCGAGCGCCACATTCCCTTCACTTTCCTTCGCGGCCCAAGCTGGGATCCCTTCCGAGACTGGTTCCACGGCAACCGGATCTTCGACCAGTCCTTCGGCATGCCAGCCCTCACCGAGGACTGGTACCACTGGCCGAGCACTCACTGGCCCGGCTACATCCGGCCCTCAGTTGTGGGCCCAGCAGCCGAAGCAGGGGCCCCCAGCGCTGTGAGCCCGCTGCCCCCGGGGCCGGCGATGTCGCCCTACGCCCGCGCGCTCTCCCGCCAGCTGAGCAGCGGCATGTCCGAGATCAAGCAGACCCAGGACCAGTGGAAAGTCAGCCTGGATGTCAACCACTTCTCCCCCGAGGAACTGGTGGTAAAAACCAAGGACGGCGTGGTGGAAATCACAGGTGAGTCCTGCAGGCAGCTCTGTCTTCCCCCCTCCTTCTGGGGGCGCTAGCGCTGCAAGGGGCGTGGCCACGGTACGGGCCCGAGCGGGCGTGAGGTGAGGGTCTGTATGGTGCACCAGCTTTCATGGGTTTTAAATCTTCGCAAACAGAACAAAATGACCTTTTTAATTTTAAAGGGTTAAAAAAAAAACTTCCAAACGTATTTTATTCCTTCCTTTCACCGTGAGTGCAGCCTTGATCATGTCATCTGTCTTATAAAGATTAATATGTAGTCATTGTTTGTTTCTGATTTATGTTTGTTTCTGTTTATGTGTTGCCTGTTTGTTTGGAGCAAATTAGTAAAAATAAGAAAGTCGACAGCTTCATAAAACACATTCTTTTAAAAGTTATGACAGCATTGAATGTTGGGAATATGGTATATCTCATGCTGTCTAGTTTATCTCAGTGAGAAAGTCTTTCTAGTTTTAAAAAAACAAATGTTTCTGAACTGGCCTTTGTTGTGGAAAATGAACAGAAGTCAACGTGTTCCCTGGATTCTCCTCAGAGCAGGGGGCAGCTGGGGTGACAGCACTGGTTCTCTGTTGAAGTGACACAGCTAGCACACACTGCCCCCGAGACTGGCCGAACTTGAATGCTTGATGAATTGAGTTTTACCATGGTCATAGCTGTGTTCGAAAGCAAGCTGATCTGCATCTGTTCCCGTCTACATCTGGTTTAATGGCAGTGTTAAAAAAATAGTTTCATCTGAAAAGCCAGCAAATTTGCCAATAACTGCGTCCCTCCTTCATCGGTGCCATGGGGATTGCAGCTGAGTCACTGATGACTCACACTTGCTTGTTGCTTTCAGAGTCAGCTGCTAGCCCAGCCAGGGCTGTTTCATTTCCTAATCAGACTTGCAAAGTTTTTAAGAAGCTTCACTTCGTGTGTCACTATTTGCAGCATTGGATTGCTTTTATAAAAGTATATAGGGCGGAGCTCTGCGCCTGTGGCTGGAAGGTTGCCGGTTCAAATCCTGCAGCTGGCAAAGGAATCCTACTCTGTTGGGCCCCTGAGCAAGGCTGTTAACCCCAACTGCTCCAGGGGTGCTGTACAATGACTGACCCTGCACTCTGACCCCAAGCTCTCTCCCTATCTGTTTGTCTCATGGAGAGCAAGCTGGGGTATGTGAAAAGATGAATTCCTAATTCAAGAAATTGTATAGGGCTAATAAAGTTATGTTATGTTACTGTAATAAGTCAGTTTTTACTGTTTTAGATTACTGTCTAAATTTGTTTTTATCACTTGATAATTTCCATTGCAACTTTGCATGAAGTAAAAAGACCATTTGTAATGATTTCCTAAAGTGCAACATTTATATACCTGTTTTCACGTGATGTCTCTCAAATGCATTGAAAAGTAATGGCTAAATTAAAGAAATCAACTGTAACCATGAGCACATATAAAATGAATGCAATCTATGGAATATGCTTCACTGTGATACAAGCAGTGCTTGTTTGCAGTAATAGTCAGTTGCCAAAGCAAACAACTGTGTTATCAGGATCTCAGTTTCAAAAGGAATGTTCTATATTAAAGCAGGAAGACACACAGGGATCTATTAAAATGCTGTCAAGGGAGAATTGCCAGTTGCTAAAGGAAGCTGGTGTAACCTCAGAACTGAAAACATTCCATGCCTGACCTATGCATTTGTACCTGTAGGTAAACATGAAGAGAGACAGGATGAGCATGGCTACATTTCAAGATGCTTCACCAGAAAATACACGTGAGTATTAGAAAAACAGTATGAAGCATGTGTAATATATATTGTATAAAACTGGTAGCCTGTCTTTGTTGTGTGGAACACTTGTAGTAGGACTAGCTGATGCCCTCCTAGCAAAGTCCAGTTCATGAATTCAGTTTATGACAACATCACCTGTCCGGGCCCTCAGGCATGTGTTCCCTTCGCTTGCTGAAATCGGCAACGCTTTCTCGTTCCCCTCCCCAGGCTCCCTCCTGGCGTGGACGTCAACAAGGTGGTCTCCTCCCTCTCTCCAGAAGGAGTGCTGACCGTAGAGGCTCCTCTTCCCAAACCGGCAATCCAGGCTGCGGAAATTACCATCCCAGTCTCCCTGGAGAGCAAGGCCAAGCCTGCAGTCGAAACCAAGAAATAACCAGCATTGCTCTACCGACCTGCAAAGGCGCAGTGCAGTTAATATTGAACGCTTGACCACGCAGCAGTTTCCCAAATATTATAACAGAAACTATCTTTTGCTTGTTGTTTTTTTCATTCTTTTGAAATTGGCTCAATTTCTCGGTGAATGAAACATCCCCCCAGCACACTGACTTTGTATTATTACATTACGTGCTATTGCAAACCTGCATTTTTGCAGTCATTTCATCCTTCTTTTAGAGTTAGATTTAAAATACAATCCAAATACTCCCCTTTCACTTCTGCCTCCTGCTCTTAAGATTTGCTTGCTGCGCTCTGAATGCGATTAGACTTGGCTGGTGTGTGGGTATTGTTTTTTCTCCATTATGATACTGCAGCTCTGCTGGCTGCGGGTGTGCCATCTTCTGTGAAACTGCAGCTTGGTTTCTTCACTCAGGCACAACGTCCCTGCGTGAACACTAGGAGCATAGATAGCCTTGTCATTGGAATAAAAAATACAGGACATACTGTATGACTTTGGATGAGCTGAACTATGCATACAATACATTACAAGCCTTTTGTGGGAAAAAAAGAGATTTATTTCTAAGAAGTACAGAAAAGTAGGCTTTTATTCCTATTGTGAGACTAAAGAATAAATTACCAATTTGGTATAGCCTTCTGTTATTATTTTTGGTAATTGCTACTCACCATTGTTCTTGTTATGATATTTTGATTTGATGGAATCTGTTTAATGCTATAGTTTGCACATGGTAGAGATCGGCCTATATTTCAGTGGGTGTGAAGGTATTTCCATAATTTTGAAAAATAAATGCTTTGTCTTTTTTAAGTCAAAATAGTTGTGTGTGTTTCTTTAAGAGGATAGCATTAGAATCTGATTTTTTAACATACAGTAGATTGAGAATGGAGAAATGTTGTTCTTAATTTAATCAGATATTACAGGGCTGGAAGGGTGGTCTTGCACAGGATTTATTAGCTTTGACACTGCTTTCTTCACCAAGGTGTTACAGTACATTGTCACTGGCAGCTGAATGAAATACCAGCTGATTAGTTCTTGTATGTGTCTAATGTCATGGCTCAGACTTACGTTTTTGGTTTAAGATTAAACTTCAGACAAACACGTCTCCTGCTCCATAATTTTCCTCATTACTTTCTTTTGGACGGTTTTGATTTTGCCATATGCAGCAGTAAAGACATACTGTATAAGCTTTTAAACTTATGAACCTAGTCATTCAAAGGGGTATCAGTGTTATGCTCTTGCACAGCTGAAACTGTTCTTTCAAGAAGCCACAATAAACGGAAATAAACCAATTTTCTTTTCTTGTTCTGATGTCTCACAAACAGAAACAGAATGCAGAACAGTTTTCTTTTCGATATGAAAGCATGCATTTCTGCTGATGTGAAGTTACCTGCAATTCTTGTCAATAGCAATGGTAATGCGATATTTTGTCCATAGTATTGGAATGGTAGAAAAAATGCATTTGAATAACCACAAGTCTATGCTGATCAAGAAAGTGTTTGTTGTTTCTTTTAAAGAACGGACATGGTAACAAAAAGTAAGTAAAGAAACAAAAAGTAAGATTCAAAAGATGAATTATTCAGCTCCCTTTGCTGTCATGCATGGAAGTGGCTTTTATTTTTTTCTCACTGGCTCACTTAGTATATTTTATAACAGCCACGGCAGACACTCATCAAAATAAAATCTATTTGGACGAAAAGACACTTCAGCCTGCCATCTTTTTGTGGGTAGTGGGCATTTAAAAAGAACATTAAAGACCCCAAGTTTTGTTATTCAACTGCCTAAATACTTTCAGAAATGCAGATCCTTATGTCTTCATTAGCAGTTAATCTATATTTGAGAGATGCTCCTATTATTAAGAAAAAGCATATGCTCTCTCTCTAATCCTGTTCTGTCTGAACCCCAGAGTATCCAAGAACCATACTGTATAAACAGGAAGGCAGAAACCTTCTTATCCTCTATACTGTAGATGACAAAGCTCCTTGTTCAGTCACTGAGTCATCATTCTCCAGTGCCCGTGAATCATGCTTTTTGTGTAGAATTCAAGATCCTCGAAAAACGACTCTTAAGCCTCCATTCACCCATTACATACACTGAACCCTCACACCACTGTTTTTATTAATAAAAATGTTCTTAGCATTGTGTGGCCGTCTAAGCAGACAAAGGAATGGTGATGGAATAGCTACTGTAAAGGCTTTGGAATCACTAAATTATTATGGCAGCCTCTTCTTGGGTCTGGCTAACAAAACGTAAGGAACTAGGGGCTGGAATAATGGTGTATGTAGTTTAACAAGAAAGAGTGACGTGCATACCATAGTTCATAAGCGTGGAACTGCCAATGGCTGACTTTCCATGCATAATTCAAGCAGGGTGCAGATTTGCTTTTGTTTAATTGTTAACAACACAAGGAGAGCCCGCTGAAGGAGTCTTTGCAGTTTCAGGACAAATGTGGAGCATAGCAGATATTACAGTAGATATTACAGCAACAACAACAACTGTAAATAATACAGTAGATCCTGGTATCCCTCTGTTCTCTACACCTGCGGTGAATGGATTACCGTTACCTTTCCTTAATCAGCCTGACCAGAGGGATTTAAGGAAAAAGAGGGGTCACTTCTCCCACAAACATAATGAAATGCTAGACCGAGCAAAGAGAACAGCACAAACACAAACGCACACACCTGCCCAAAATCGATAGCTTTCTGTGTCTTCATGCATACCAGCAAAGGAGTTTCCACGGCAACACGTAGAGTCATAGCTAGTCAACCAATCCACCTCCCTTCACAGCCTCCCTGGAGGTGTTCTGAGATGTGGAGAACAGCGCACAGGCCCTGCAGCTGAAACCAAGAGCCAGGATGAGAAAGAACCTATCCACTGCCACAGCTCCGGGTCTGTCACAACATCGAGCACAATTCCCAGGGGGTCTTAACCACTCCCTGGGACACTGCTGGCTGGCTCCTGGACTGAGCGATAATCTCCTGCATCTTGCATACTGCGCGTAGGGAAAAAACTCTGAAACATAGAAATAACTCCATCAGGGCTTCATCCTCATTTAATACAGGGCTGATTCTCACAGAAAGAGAATATAATTACCAGAGATAAAAGATTATACAGTATAATCCAATCACATTATTATTATTTATTATCATTGTTGTTGTTGCTTTAAAATGAAAGCAGAGGGATTAAAATGGATTTAAAAATTTGTAATAACATCTACAGACTATGAGCAGAATCAATGACTATTGAGCTCCTTTAAGCAAAATCAAACAGACACATACGATCTATAAACTGTATACAGTTCGTGCACTTGTGCGAAGATATACAGTAGTTCTGCGGCAGCTCATTTCTTTTAACGAGAAAGAAAGGCCGGTCCTCCGTGTGAATCTCTTTCCCGTGCTCCGTGAAAGAGGCTGGGAGAAGAGTACGGCTTTGCATTGCCATGCACTAGTTAGGAACCGCTTTCTGAGTGTCCCAGGGGACTCCGGCTCTGTCTCACTCAGGCTGCAGGAGAATTCTAATTATAGCAGTGTCTCCTATCTGCTGTGCTTCTGGCACTTTCTCTTTTAATGAGCTCAGATCTACTGAGCCCGACGCCGGCATTATTTTGAGTCTGAAAACCACAGGATTCGTCTTTTTTAAATTAATCTGATGGAATGAGAAATCCTAGATATCCAAGAAGAGCCGTAATATTTTTGCAAGTGTGACCACATGATGGCATACTCACTAGGAAAGCTTTTCTTTTTACATAGTGGTCAGTATTTTCTGAGCCCACTGTTTTATTTGAGGGGACGGGAAGACTACAATACCCAGAAGGCACTGTGACGAGACTCAGGCACGGCTGAGTGTTTAAGTGCCTGTAGGAGAAACTCAAGTCTTTCAAAACTGCACTTTCTTTTCTTTGTTTGTTAAATTGCATTACAGCATGTGCATGCAGCTCCAAGGTAGATGCTACTGTATTTGTTTTGTAGTCTATAACAAATCGATTGAAGCATTCCTAACATTAAAAATACATCTATCCCCATCACCTTATTTCAGCCTGGCAAAAAACAAAACAAAGGTAAGTTTTGGATTCTTTTATTTCAGTGACAAATTTTGCACAATCTTGCAGAAAGATGAGTTACTGGGCAGTAGGATGGGAGATTTGTTCTGGGAAGGCCTCAGCTAAGTTGTTTTGTTTTTAATCTCTCTAGGGATTCCTGTTTGTTACTAGCCTGCAGCCCCTTTAATAATTATGTGACACAAAGCACCCAAGTATTGAGAACTTTTAGCTTCTGTATGTGTTGACATTTAAAGACTACTGTGTGTGTCAGCCCTGTGTTTCATTATAAAGATTTAGAAAAAAGGCTTTTTTTTGTGTATTTCTCTTAGAAAATATGCTAACTTTCAGCATTTGAATTTCTGTGGTTGAAGATGGTCAGCAGTGCTGCCTCGCAGAGCTAGGGCCTAGGTTCAGTGCTAGACCTGGGGTGCTATCTGTGTGGAGTTTGTACAGTTTGTTCTCCCCATGCTCATGTAGGTTTCCTCTAGGTGCTCCAGTTTCCTCCCACAGTCCAAAGATGCTGGTACTGTAGGTTAATTGGGAAAACTGGCCCTGGTGTGAGCGTGTGTGTCTGTGCCTGCCCTGAGACGGACTGGTGTCCTGTCCAGGGTGTATCCTGCCATGCTTGCTAGGATAGGCTTCAGCTCTCTCGTGACCCTGTATTGGATAAATCAGTTAGACACTGGATGGATGGAAGGAATAGTGAAAGTCACTCTTACGTTCCCACCGTGTGTGTCTGTGTGCCCTGCGATGGACTGGTGTCCCAGCCCGGGTGTACTCTGCCTTACGCCCATTGCTTACCAAGATAGCCTTCTGTTCCCCTCCAGCTGTGTTTGAAGAAGTGGTTAGAAAACGGCCGGAACCAGTTTTAATGTATCTTTTCATATATGCCATTCTGGTTTTGAGGTGGAGAACTTGGGCATGCTTTTTCTATTTGCAATCAAAGGCTGTAAATGGTTGTTACTGTCAGTGCCATGTGGAGAATTTTGAAAAGCTTATTTATTCTGCATTCTGTCCTGGGACCTGAGCATATACAGTAGGTGGGCAGTTAACTTTCAATGAGGGTGGGGGTGTGTCTGCAAAAGACTAATGTTACAACTCTATGAAAACATCTTATTTCATTACAGTTATATTAATGGTAGAGAGGTTAATTCCAGAAAATTAGAAAAGAGAAATAGGTCGTTATTTTATAAATATAATACAATATAAAGGGATAGTTTTGAGTATTCGCCAGCAATGGCCCCAGTGAACCCCCCTTCTGTGGGCTGCTTTGTAGTGTCAAAAGCTCTTTTAGTTTTTTGTTTTTTTTTATATGATTAACTGTATGTTTTGAAATGATCTCTGGAATCACTTTCATGGTCTCATCATGAGGTTTGAACAATGGAAAAATATTCTATTTTTTCAGCTGTGCTACAGTATGTTCTTGCTGCCATTTGCCATTAGTTGTTGCCAGTGACCTATAAATCTGTATAAAAGCAGAAGTGATTAGCTTATGCCAATAGGGTGTTGAAAAGAGAAAAGTGATTTTCTGTTGCTACTTTTGTCAATAAAAACATCAGGAAAAAGAAATTTCCCTTTCACAAAGCTGTGGCTTTAGTGCTAAGTTTGCTTTTTTAGTTTGCTTTTCTAATTTAACATCCCCTAAGTACTGTATGTTACAGAGTGTATAAACCCTCTTGGAAAAATATTTTCTTTTATACAATGTTTTTTATTACTTAATTACTTAATTCATGAAACCCATGTAACACTTAGATGTGGATCATAAAAAAACATCCAAATAAACAAAGAATAAGCTTTATATCTGTCAAAAACAACTGCGCACAAGGCTGTCTGCCCCTGTAAAAGATATCCTGAAATCACATTGAAGATCAGTAACCCTTCCTGAAATAACTCACCAAAGGAGTTTAAACAATCTGATAATTTGCTAGTCCCATAAATAGAAACCAAAGCAGAGTTTAATCCTCACATCTCGAGCTAAAGATCACGCCAGGCCACGACATACTTTGCCATTTTAGCCCAGTGCTCTGACCTGATTAATGTTTTCCTCCCTGCTTTGTCGTATAAGAACTATAAGAACTGTTGCTCAGATGTTTCAGCTACAGTACTTCCTAAGGTTTCACAAAAAAAAAACATTTCAGACTTCAAAAATATTTGCTCAGTGGTGATTTGGTGATTCCCCCTCCCTGTGCTAATCATTACGTAACTGCTTTATTTCTTGTTCCAAGTCCCAGTTTGACACATGAACAAACACTA